ATTATAAGGAGATCAAAAGGTGGCACAGAAAGCCATTATGTATAGATTATGTTTTTTAGTGTAAAAATATTTAATCTTTAATTATTCTAAAAAAATAGTCTTTTGTTATTATTAACTCATTTTATTGTTTTATATTTTTAAATCATTATTTATTCTACTTCAATCTAAATTAACTACAAAAAAGCATCATTATATGAAATAATAAGAATCTACTTAGTAGCTCATCATTTCATTAATGATTATCCCATCAATTTTTTTGTAGAAAATAATTTAGTAATCATAAAGTTAATTATTTTATCATCATGATTATGTTAATAAAATCAATGATTAACTAATAATGGATTAGGATAGGAGTGGTAGAGAATGAAATGTAAAAATTAACTTCAATACCAAGTTGTATACATTCCTATCAAATCAATTTTTAATTCTATAACATTTTGAAAAATATTTTTTTCTTTTATAGTATTTTAGTAATTAATTTTTTATGTAATATCTTAATATTTTTGCCAATCATTAATTAATATTAAAAATATCACCTGTGATGCCTAAGAAGCATTATTGTCTTTGACATTAGATTAGAGTCTTTATGATTTTTTCAATATTTTCACCTCTGTCTTTTCTTATTTTAATCTCCTCTGTCAACATACTTTTATGAGTCATAAAAGTAAGACAAAGTGAAGGAGAGAGAAGACAAAGTGGGGAAGAGTTTGACACATAAACACAGATAGAAGGTAACTCTTGCAGGCAGAAAATGAAAGAGAAGATCTAAAACTTGATATTTATCAAGTCAAGTTTTTAATTTATAATATTTTAATAAATATTTTTTAAAATATAATATTTAAAAAAATAATTTTTTTAATAGCATGATCGTCAATTTGCGAAAAAAAAAAGCTTTTGCTCTTAACTTCAATGCTGCTTTGGAGCCGAGAGACTGGGTTTAGCCCTTCTCTTCGATATTTGTAGACTACAGATTTTTTACCCCAGGCTTACGAAAATAACAATAGCTCCCAATGAATGACGCAAAGATTTTAATTATTTTAATTTACCAAATTATTCTTCAACATTAATATAAGTTACTCTTAACTCATTTACGTTAAGTTAAAATCTTTTTTTTAAATTTTCACACATTTCCAATTATATCCTTAAATAAAATAAATATAATATCTAATTTATTTAAAATATTCTCACTAATTACTTAGGTGGAATATAATAAAATAAAAATATAATTAAAATATATATATATATATATATCTAAGTGTTTAATGTCATATATTTTAAATCAATTGAGAAGTTAAAAAAAAAATCCAATATTATAATCAGGATAAAATGTGTATAACGGGAAAACGGGACTTGTTAAGGACAGTCCGCTGGAATCGATTTCAACGCTTGTAGACTTGTAATTGGGTCATGGGTGGTCAAGCCCGCCATCCATTTCCTGCTAGCTCAGCGCTATGACAAAGTTTGGTTGTTTACTTAGACATTTAAATAAAAATTTATATATTATTTTAATTTTATTTATAAGTTACTTTTAACTTATTTTATTAATATTAAAAAAATTTTAAAAGTTATTAATTCTATTTTAAAATTTAATAAGTTATTAGCTTTATTCATTTTAAATATATAAATTTTAATAATATATTTTTTTAATATTTAATAGAAGGCTAAAAAAATTATAATAAAAATTTAATGACATGACTTATAAATAAAATTTAAAAAAAAATTTTTATTCTATAAATAAAATCAAAGACAGTATATGTATATATATATATAATCTTCTTGAAGTTTGAATCAATTGCAAATGGGAACAAAACCTCTTCCCTTCCGTCCTATCCTCTTCTCTAATCTTAGCTGTTAATTTTATTTGTGGCTGAAAATAATCCCCCCTTAATGGAGCAACTTTCAATGAGAATAATACCAACACACAAACATGAATTGAAAAAAAATAATATTAGAAAATTTGAAAAGTAATCATCCTTTCAGAAAAATAGATTCATGTGGCTAAAAACAATAACAGGCAAACATTAATGAAAAAAAATGGAAATCAATAGAAGCAAAAAAAGAAAAAAAAAACCCCTCAATTGGAAAGAACGTATTGGATGAATTTCAAAAAAATACCAGATTATATCAAAATAATTTCTTTGTAGGTAAATCTTTCTTTGATTGAAAATTATTTACAGTGCACTGTTTAATCAAACTGCAATAATACTTCACCGAGTTTCCATACACTTCTGTGGAGAAAAATATAAAATAGGTTGTCTTCACAGACGATATTGCTCCATTAAGTGGGAATTATTTTCAGCCACACATGAAATTGATGGTTAAGATTGGAGAAGAGGATGGGAAAGAAGAGGAGAGGTTTCTACTCTCCACATTTTTTTAAAGTTTAAAATAAGAAACCTCATGTTTCATATTTTAATAAAAACTTTCCTTCTAAAAAATAAAGTAAAAGTTAACAATTTATGCTAGTTAGTTATTTTCTTTTATAATCATTTGCCATATCACTAAAATTTAAAAAAAAAATAGCATGGAATTTTGAGTATTTTAATAGCTTCTTTTTGATTTCTCCTCCCAAAAATAGCTTCCTCCCTTATCTTTGTCTCCTTCACGAAATCATTTTGCGTTCTCTCATGTTAACATATACACTTTGTTTGGTTCGATGAGGGGGGAGGAATTTTAACGTAACTTGTTTGATTAAAGGAGAAAAAAGAAAATAATTATATATGAATAATTATAACCCTATTTTATTAAAATTTTCCCTATTTTTATGAATATTTACTAAAATATATATGTAGATTTTAAACAACATAATGATACAAACATAATTTAATAAAAATACCCATGCAATTTTTTTTGGAGATGCCCATATTTATTGAAACAGCCAACACTCATTTTTTTTTAAAAAGAAAGATCAAATATTTATATTAAAAAGATAAAATTATACTCTCTCCTTTTAAAAATATAAGACATTTTTAGAAGAGTTAAATGTTAAAAAATGTAAGATATTTTTAATTTTTTAAAATATAATTATTGTCTTTTTTTTAAAGTACTTTTATTAATAATAATTTTATATATATTATAAAGTGTTTATTAAGAGTAAATATAAAAAAATAAAATTAATAAAAAATAAATAATAATTATATTAAAAATAAAATTTAATTAAAAATATTTTATATTTTTAAATAAAAAAAATATAATAGAACAAAATATTGGCTGAGAGCAGAACACTTGCGAGTTGGAAAGCTTTGGACTTTGGGTCAGGGGGTAGCTCGATAAGTATGCCGCCTGAACCTTCTCCGCTTACGACACTGATGCATGAATGATGTACAATCTAACAGCCTTTGCTTTGTTGCTCGTCAGTCAGGTGGTGGTTCACGGTAGAGACCGGTTTCGATGTTCATCACTGCAGTGAGATTTAAATCATTCAGATTTTTTGGATGATTCAGTTTTAAAAAATTATTATATATTTTTATTTTTATATTTATTAAAATAAAAAAAATATAAAAATTATAAAATAATTTTAATAAATTTTTTATTTTTAATATGACCTAAATCTAATTTAAAGGGTCTAATTTAATACTAAAATTTTTATAATTGATATATATTAACTATCTAGATATACTTTGCACAGGTCATATTACAATTAATCTGGCATGTATAAAGTATATTTGGATAGTCAATATATATCAATTATAAAAATTTTAATATTAAATTGAATCCTTTAAATTAAATCTAAGCCATATTAAAAATAAAAAATTTATTAAAATTATTTTATAATTTTTATATATTTTTATTTTAATAAATATAATATATAATAATATTTAAAATTTGGATCATTTAAATTAAAATTTGAATGATTCAGATCTCCTCACAACAATGATTGGTACTGTGATGTTTATCATTGTGATGAGTATCGAAACTGATCTCGTTCATGGGGTCACTACCTCTCTCTCTCTCTCCCCTCTCCCTCTCTCCTCTCTTTCTCGCCTTCTTTCCTTCTCTCTCGAATACAACTCTACTCTTTCGCCCTCTTTACCAAACTCAACCTGTACCCCCTTCCCTTCTCCTCCAGCTCATTCGCGTTGCTCTGAGCATACCCCAACATGAATGTGTTTCACACATTAGTAGCAACTATCTCGAAGGACATGGACGACGACTTGTGTCGAGGGCGACGCTCTTGAGCTGGTCGAAGTGTCTCTTGTCAAAGATGATGGAGGTTGGTCTTACGTTGCTTGAAACCTAAGTCTTGAACCCACAGAGATCCCAGATAATCCTAAATAGGTTTGTGCGCTAGATGCAGTTGTATGAACAAATGAGGGCGGCGCCATGCATGAGTGGAACTTAATTTGGAGGCAAAGGAAGCGAAGTGTATGGAGTGGAAAGGAAAGCTTGAGTGGAAGAATGTGGGGAAGGAGAGGGGAGAACACGGAGAGAGAGAATGGAGGAGAGAGGATAAAAAATGGAAGTGGGACCCACTGTTAAATATTTTATTATAAAAATATATTAAAAAGTGAGAGCTATGCTTACCTGGCCTGCAAAATGTACAAAATTGTAGGCTCCACAAAATATTGACTAAACAGTAGGGCAAGCAAGTAAAAAAATTTTAAAGTTGAAAGATATAAATAATTCATAATTAAATTTAAAATTATTTATAATTTTTTATATATAATTTAAAAATAAAAATAATTATTAATATTATAAAATATGTTAGTTGAAACGGAAACATAACTCTTTAAATAGAAGTTGAGAGGTAAAAATAATTTTTAATTTAATAAAAATATTAAAAAAATAGTGAGACCCACTAATAATTAATAGACATTAAATGTCTTTAACATTAGGATGATGATGAAAAAAATTTTTAAAATTTGAAGACATAATTAACCAATATTTTAGTTTAAGGGCATGTATGACTTTTCATGTACAATTTAGGAATGACCTTTCACTCAAATAAATTATAATATCATATGAATATTCGAAAACAAGAAAATATTAGCTTATTCAAATGAGCAAAGCATAATTTACTAAAACAATTAAATAATAAGTCAAACGTAGGTAGTACTGGATAGGATCCGAGTTCAAGAGTTCCTATCTTTTATTTTCTTTATAATGTTATCAAGCGATTGGTTAATACCGAATAACCATTATTTTTTTGACTGAGACAGAGACAATGTCACTGAATACTAAACTAGAGATTTATATAACCATTCTCAATCATCCACTTGAGACTCCAATGGTTGTATTGGCATTTATAGGCCCAATAGGCCCATCCAAAAGTAGCCCGAGAATACACTTCCTGTTGAGCGTTTGCATATCTTTGATAATCTTCCATTGATGCTCCCTGTACGTTCCACTCTGCAGTCCACTCTCCTATCATATCATTACCGTATAGATTAAATTAGTTTGGGTAAGTTTTAACTCAAGATTCATCAATAGTACTATTTGTTAGAGTTTCTATAAGAAGTGTTTTTGAAAAAGGATTGTATCATGTAACATAATAGTGTTTACTCACCTACAAAACTGAGAGGACCATTGTCAGTGGTGACGCCGCTGAGATCTGAAGCTCTCTGGTTATATATGTAATCGATGTTCTGTTGCACATCCATATTTTTGAACTGATCTGTATACAAATTGTAGTAATGCACGTCAATGACTACTCGATTGAAGCTCCCGACAAATGAGAGAAGCTCTGTGGAGCCATGATCTAATGGGTTTGACATGATGACATAAGCCATTTCAGAGTATTTCCTCACTGCATCGTAAGCTTGTTGGTAATACTTCTTCAGGCTGTCCAAATTAGGTCCTAATGTTGGCTCGTTCATCAGTTCGATTCCTCCTAGACTAGGTTTGTTCCCATATCTGCCACACCAAAATCAACTATCATCACGTCACTGCCTCAAAATAGTAAGTAGATTGTTGTGTTTCACGGGTAATGACACCCCAAGAATTCAAAACTTCAAACCTTTCTGCTAAGAAGTCAATTACTGCGACTGTGTCTTGTATTTCTGAATCTCCCCATTCAGTATATCCGTCTCTTGTTCCACTGTGATCGTTCCCATTCTGTGAACCTTGAACTGCATGAAGGTCCACTATCACTTCCATCCCGTGGTTTCTGCAACGTAACAACAAATTAACCTGTAATTGATGATTAGTTTTTGAGAATTGATCGCTTGAAATTGGATCCACACACTTACTGGGCCCAAGTGAAGGCATTGTCCAATGCTGCCAGAGATCCTCCGACGAAAGGCTTGGGAGGGTTGGGGTCGTGAGCTATCCACCAACCGACCGGAATTCTAACAGCGGTCAACCCATTTTCAGACATGAATCTGAAATCTTCTTCAGTGATGTACGTGTTCCAATGATCCTGCATGACTTGAGGAGCTTTGTCAGGGCCATAGCCATTAGTAATTTGATACTCTCCTTGTAATGTTTTCACTATTGTCATAAGGAACACAGACGGGTCGCCGTCTTCCCAGTTCGTCGAGCCTTGATAATCAGCACTCACCGCCGTCTCCGATTGAGCCTGATTAATATAATCGAATAAGCATAATTCGAGGAATAATAAAGTGCGGCATATAATTTTGGGGTTTGAATAACATAGCGATATTTATATACCTGTAGGAAGAGACCGTTTGATGCTTGGATGCGAATTTTGGATGGATCGCCACTGTTCCTTATAATCTGAAACGTTTCTGGGTCGCTAGGTGAGTTCGAAGTTGCGACTAGCTTGTTTGAAGCATCTAAACCAATGAATTGCTTGCCGAATACTCTGAAATTGAAGCTAGAATCGCTCACCCTCCATAACTGCATCGTCATTGCTCATTTCAGACTATTAGAATTAGAGGAAGGAATCCCCGAAAGCATTTCGTGTTGAGTGCATAGGAATACATACCCTGAAAGTTTCCCAGCCTGAAGCAGAATCACGGTTAGCCATAACATTATCTCCTCCTCCGTTTTCAGCCACCAGAAACTTCTGCAACTTAGTAGACTTCAATTGCACTTGAGTTCCATCCTAAGCATCACCAGAATATATATCAAGAATCAAGATACATATATTCATTAACCATAAATGAATATTGGAGTAATAAAATGGAGATGGAAGTACCAAGAGATCTTTGTTAACAATTCCATCAAAGAGAGATGGTTTCATCCAGCCCTCTGTAACGAGCCAATTCCCCAGATTCACTGCTTTGAATGGCAGATTTTGCCCAGCAACGAAGGAGTAAGAAGAACAGAGGAATAGAGCCAGAAGGATGCTGAAATAATGCAGGGATCCCATTTTTAAGGGCTAAGTGAAATCTGGCAGACACTAACCATGGGATGGTATATATAGAATTTGCAGGCGGTGGCGGCATGGTAATGGAAGTATTATCAATAAATATAAATGTAGAAAGGACTTTAGTGGATTGGAATAGTAGGCGTGTCATGTTGCCCAATTCAACCTACGCTGAATATACGTTTCCATGCCGCGATTAGAGGAGCACACTGTCTGCACACTTCAGTTTCTTTGTATATCGCGCACACGCGCACGCACGCGCACACAATTATTTGACTGGTTAAATTCAAGTATTATTAAGTCTAATTACAAGTAATTTTTTTAAAAATATTTTTTACATTCACACAAATTTAAACTTAAAATTTTATATCTAAACAGTCATAGTCCCTTCTATCAAGACTAACATTTGTTAGTTTTCTATATCATTTTTATTATATACTCCCTTTAATTCAAAATGTAAGCATTTGTCCTTAGCTAATTTTGGTTCAAAATATAAACAATATAATACATGTAAAAAAAATTTCATCATTTTATTTTTTATATTTATTAATCTAGATATTTGTGTAAATGTATCTCTCACTTATTATAAAGTGTTTTGATAATTTGAACTAGGAAATAAAAAAAATAATATATATATTTATAGGAATAAAGGTTTTATTGGAATGAACCAGAGGGAGCATTCTATTCAAGCATGTCAATCTTCAAATGTGGAGTGTGCCTGACGTTATGGGCAACCAAGTCATTAAGTTATATATTTTGATTATTTGATTAATTTGTTTGTTTTGTTAGATTAATTACTCTAGCCTTTAATTTTTGGGGGTTAAACTTAACTTTCTTGGGTCGTTTTTATTTTAAAGCTTGTGTTGTGGTTGACTTTGACTAATAAAATCAGAGTGCAGGGTTGAAGGAAGACTTGGGGTGTTGACAACTCTGTGTTGATAATCATTACGTGGGAAAATTGGCCTCAAGGAACAGAAAGGTCAAATATGTGGGCATCACCCCAAATTTTGAAATAATACTTATAAGAAATCATGATGTTGGAGTGACAATATGTTTTTAGAGAAAACACCAAAATATTTTTTTATATTGATCCATAAAAGTCATTCATAAATGTTTAAGAATCTGTATTCTAGACAGGAGTATGGAAAACGAAATAATATTTCATTTTTTTAATAAAAACATAGTCCCAAAAAGATCACAGTTCCTTGCAAGTTTTATTTCAAAATTTGAAATTTATGCCCAAATATTTTAGGCCCGGTTTGGTACTTTAGCATTCTTCAAGCAAAATCGGAAACGGATAAGGATTCTGGTGGGGAGACTGTTTGGCAGCCATGATTTTTTATTCTCAAGAACCCGATTCAATCAAGAAAAGTTAGAACCTGATTCTTTCCCAATGTCGATGGAATCGAATCGATTCACATGGAATTAGTTGTCGATGCTCCTTTGCCCTCAACGAAATTGTCACATCTCCACCTTGGAAGCTTGTAGCCCACAGTCCACAACCAGCGTTGCCCCTGTCAGGCTGTCACCCACCATCATCTCCACCTCTTCCATCACATCTCCTCTACCTCTTCATCCTTCTCCAGATGACAGCTCTATCTTTTTCTATGGTTTTCCTCCTCCTTCCTCTCACATTAGATTTGGCTTCGTGCTATTCTCCATTTTTCTTCCTCTACAACAGAAAATTTCATGGGTGTCAGAGGTTTTGTTTTTTCTGTAGCTATTCTCAATCTTCTTCCTCAACAATGTTGTTTTGGGCTGAAACTTCTCTTGAATTTTAAGGAGAGATCAGAAACAAAACAAGAGCAGCTCTTTCGCGGGCGGTGACAGGGTGGGGCTAGCGAGAGAAATCGCGATTGAAGCAGCCCCAATCAAGGAGGAGGATGACGGCAATGCCGAGAACGCCGAGAATATATAGGTAACCAGCATCTTGGGAGCAGACTGCAGAGTGAGTGCGGAGGCTAACCCTCGCTATAACCAGCAAAGGGATAAATGATTTTTATTCGATATGTGCATGGGTTTGTCTTGAATTTATATGGTTCTTTGTTGATTTGTTTTTTTTTTCTCTTTGTGGTGATTCTGATGTGTTTTCTGATAGGTCTGTGTTTTGCCATTGAAGGATAGGGAAGAAGGCAAAGGACAAAAGGAGGTCTTTAATTTTCAAGAAAAGGCTATTTTGGTCTTTTTTGCTAAAGACTTTTGGTTCCTGTGACCGACTCCATCAAACTTGAAATTATGAAATTAAAAACAAATAAATAAAAAGAAAATATTCAAAAGATATTTATTTACAACAAAAAAAACTTTTGCTCTTCACTTCAATGCTACTTTGGAGTCGACTGATTGGGTTTAGCCCTTCTCTTCGATATTTGTAGACTGCAGATTTTTTTTTCCCCACGTTTACGAAAATAACAAAAGCTCCTAACGAATGACGCAAAAGATTTTAATTATTTTAATATACCAAATTAATACAAGTTATTTTTAACTTATTTACGTTAAGTTAAAATCTTTATTTTTTAAAAAAAATTTCACACGTTTCCAATCATATCCTTAAATAAAATATATATAATTTCTAATTTATTTAAAATATTCTCATTAATTACTTAGGTGGAATATAATAAAGTAAAAGTATAATTGAAAAAAAATATAAAGCATATTTATTGCCATACATTTTGAATCAAGTGAGAAGTAAAAAAAAAAAAAAGTCCTATATTACAATCATGATAAAATATGTATAATGAAAAAATGGGACTTGTTGACGACATTCCACTGGAATCAACTGTAATGTTTGTAGACTTGTGATTGGGTCGTGGGTGGTTGCTTGGCCGCCATCCATTTCCTGCTAGCTCGATGCTGTGATAAAGTTAGGGCCCGTTATGCTTAAATAGAGGAAGGTGACAATGCAATTGAAGATGAAAATGAGATTTTAATTTGTTTGGAATGATGAAAGTCAATTCCACGTGGAAGCCATCTCCAAAAGAAATGATGGAATTTATTTTCATAATAAAATATCAGATTTATAATTTCATGTTTTCTTTTTCAATTTTTACCCCTTCTTCTCTCAACTTTCAGCTACTTCTAATCACTTTCCTTAGCTAACCTTCCATGCCTCCCTTCCTCTCTCTAGTTCTCTCGACATTCATCCTTCATTGCTTGCACAAGACAACTATTGATGTGAGCATTCATCAGTGTCACCGTTGCGACGTTAAAATCCTCACAAAGAGGACTATTTCTTAGGCACCTTTGATTTTGACTTCATCTGTCGCCTCTCCTTCATCGTCTCAGAATGGCGAGAACGAACCAAGGTGAGGAGGACATTGCTGGATTATCTTCAAACGGACAGGATACGAATAAAATGTCGATTTTAGATATGTGGTTGGTTGGTCATGAGTGGCCTTGTGCTTCTACGGATTCGTTGATGGACTTGCAATGATGAGGAAGAGACGACAAACCCATTGATGGACTTCCAGTGATGAGGAAGAGACGACAATCCGTTGATGCTAGATCTTTAGATCTTCATCGTTGATCGTCATCAAGCTCTTGTCCTAGGGGTGGATTTAATTTTGCTTTTGTACCAAATAGGGTATTTAGGGTGCTTATTTAAACATTCATATGAGAAAATATATATATATATATATATATAATTTTCCTAAAGTTTGAATCAATTGCATATTACTCCTCACATTTTTAAAAGTTTACAATAATAAATCTTATGTTTCATATTTTAATTAAAAACTTCCCTTCTAAAATTGTTGTAAAAGTTAACAGTTTATGCTAGTTCATTGTTTTCGTCTACAATCATTTGCCATACCAATAAAATAAAAAAAAATTAACATGGAATTTTGAGTATTTTAATAGCTTCTTTTGTGATTTCTCCTTCGAAAAATAGCTTCCTCTCTTATCTTTATCTCCTTCACGAGATCATTTTGCGTTCTCTCATATTAGCATATAGTGGCGAACTCTGATTTGGCTATTTTTATGAGGGAATGATGTTAAAGGAAAAAAAAAAATATTGAATTAAATTTATAAAAATTAAACGATTTGAAAATCTGACACCATTGCTAAATATCTTTTAAGCTAGATTTGGATGAAAGGAAAGGTAGAAAAAAATTAAAAAAAGAGAAAATTAGAAAGAGAAATTTCTAAAAATAGTAAAAAAATTTTACTACTTTTAAGAGTTTTCTCTTCTATTTTTTTCCTATCCAAACAACCGGTTAGGGTGTATTTAAATTAATGAGGATTTGGATCTCATTTAGCTACACAAAAAATTATGAATATGAATTTGATTCAAATTTAAATTGAATTTTTATTATATTTTCTTTATAATTTTAAATTTTTTTATACGTTAGTCATTTGAAATTTCAATTACTTCCAACTTATTATTCTTTTCATATTTTCACTATTAATACTTTTATAACTCTTATATTATTTTTTTGTCTCTTATTTTTATCTCTTATCAATTGAAAAATATAAGTAAACTAGTCACTTTCAATTTTTAGTTTTTGTTTTCAATCTTAACTCATCTCTCTTTTATTTAAAATTTTTTAAACTACACAAATAAAAAATTTTAAATACATATATTTTAAATATGAGATTTGAAATGTGAAATTTTAAATTTAAAATTCAAATTCAAATCTTTCAATTTAAACACTACCTTAATAAAATTGTTTAAAAATTTGCTACTCTAATTTCATAATTTGCTGCTACCACAACAAAATTTCCAAGTAAATTTTGCTAATTCTTAAAAGAAAACATTGTCAAACATATCACTTCCTCATGTGATTTTCTACTCTCACGGTCTTATTTGGAACTCTCAAAATACTAATTTGCAAATAAGATTCCTTAATGTATTAAGGCAGATAATTTTCAAGTAATGATATATTTGACAAGTCTTTCTCACAAATTAACAAATTTTACTCACAAATTTTTGTTTTGGAAGTTGCAAATTATAGAATGAGAGTAGTAAATCTTATATCAATTTACTAAAGGACAATTTACTAAAAGACCTCTGGTCTTATTTTGAATTTCCAAAACTTTTAATTCTCATTTAAG